TAAGATCCCTAAAGAGAAAGGAAAACTTGAAATCGCATCATATGACCCCTTTAAGAGGAAGCGGGGACCTTAGTTTTTTAAAATAATAACTCAGATTATATTTGTTGTATGATGTCATGCTGTAACACCTGTGGTTTGATGATGTCAAAAAGAATGAATCGATATAAATGTCATACATGGATAGATTGTATTGTAAGTGCTAACTGGAAATATTTTCTATTTTTTGTTTCCTTTTTAAAAAATGGGTTGGCCTTCTAATAAATGCATGTATGGACTCGTCTCTGAGGTGTTGTATTTGTGTTGAACTTGTATTAATGTATAGACTAAATAAACTACACACTTCATATACAGTAGTCAACATTTGAAGTGGATCAAAACCTTTCATCAAAGTTGTCCTAAAACCTAAAACCAAAATGCGTTCTTATCTTAGCACAACTTTAATGAACATTTTTGATCCACTTCAAATGTTGACTACTGTGTGTATATATATATATATATATATATGTATGTATGTATTTATCAGCACAAATGCAGACATGGTTTTATGTTTACGCGGCGCGATGCAACGCAACGCGTAAAAAGACAGTACAAGTCATTATAATCCATAATTATGTCCCCACTGGATGCAACGAATGCCTCGTTTATAATGGGTTTCATGTTTTTGAATCAATGCTCCGGCCTGAGAGGGCATCATCATAGTATGGTGAGGGGCGTAACATTTCCGTCACACGCTTGAGGTATTCGGCCAATCACAACGCACTGGATAGCTGGCCAATCACAGCACACCTCGCTTTTTCAGACCAATGAGCTTTGTAAAAATTGACGCGTTTCAGAAAGGCGGGGCATAGAGAATAAACAATAATGTACAGTATGTGGAAAATAATGTGTTTTTTGAACCTTAAACCGCATAAGCACATTTCATTACACCAAATACACAAAATAATGTTATTTTTAGCAGCATCATATGACCCCTTTAACGTCGGTCTAAAGTTCTGCTCTGCTGAGACTCCACACCGCTAGTGGCGCTAACAGCGCGAACTTTACCAAAGTCATTCACTCCACAACGAAGGAGAGAATCTCGCGGCTGCGCGGTGGTTAGTTGACGTTTGTCACTAGGTTCCGTACAATATAATTAATTCTATGAGAAAACAGCCCTGTTTTGAGATTATTACATACACGTAATTTATATAACAAATTCTGCAATTTTCAAAACAAATACAGGGGACTGTCGCGTAACGACTGAGAAGTTTGATGCACAAGGATAGTCAGTGAAGATCACGGTTATGTGTTGCAGCAGTCAAGCTGCCAGCGAGTCACTGCAGTGAAGTGGAACTAAGTGCGACTCGAGTTACAGAAAAGAGAGAAAGACAGATCTGCAGCTTCACAGCCAGGCTCTGAGTCTGCTTGCTTGTGTCAGGAGTGAAAACGTGGCACAGATCTCGCCAAGATGGAGTTTGCTGCGATCTTTGCACTATCACTACTGATAGGTGCGCTGGTTGTGTTAGTGGCCGTGGCTGTTGGCAGACAGAAAGGCGAATTATCTGAGCAGAACGAACAGAAGAAAGACACCAGTGCACCGGGTAAGCGTGTCTCTCTCACACCTGCCAGCAACTTTAAGTTGATTTCTTGTCACTGACGTAACGGTATTTTAAATTAGTTCATGTTTATGTTTTAAAGTAGTTTATTTTTATGTCATATGTCTTCACAATAAATCTGCTGGATAATGTTTCAGTGGAGGAAAATGCAGCGCAAGCTTCTTCCAAAAAGCAGAAGCATCAACAGCGCCCCCGTAAGGAGAAACCGCAGCAGCACACATTCACACACAAGCTACTGGCTTCCTCTTTAAAGGTGATTCCTCAGATATAATAAACACATTTACTGTCAAGGCTTGTTACAGTAAAGACATTTATAATGTTACAAAATATTTCTATACAACTGTTTTCAACATTGATAATAAAAAAAAAAAGAGCAGCATGTTAGAATGATTTCTGAAGATAAAGTTACATTAAAGGCTGAAGTAATGGCTGCTGAAAATTACATTTTAGATATACAGATTTATACAAACCTTGAGCCCCTGCTTCATAATAGTTATAATTATAATTGTTTACTCATATAATCCTATTTCAAATATCAAGATTTCAAAATGTTGTCTTTAGGTGCATGTCAAAGTCTTACATATTGATATTTCTGTGCATTTAATTTCTCCTTTCTAGAATCACAGTGGTAATGTCACCTGCCTGGATTTTAGTAGCAATGGCAAATACCTTGCGTCTTGCTCGGATGATCGTACCATCAGGATCTGGAGCACTAAAGACTTCCTGGATCGAGATCACAAGTGCTTGCGGGCCAACGTTGAGTTTGACCATGCCACACTCGTCCGCTTCAGCCCAGACTCTCGGTATGTTCGGCTTCATTAATAACACGCAGTTCAATTAGGTTAAATCTAACAGTTTTCTGTAACTGTTCTTGCTGCTGACTGGTTTGTGTTTGTCCCTAGAGCATTTATCACTTGGCTGGCTAATGGAGAGACCATTCACATCTATAAGATGATTAAAAAGGATGATGGGACATTCAGTTTCAAAGCTGCCTCAGAAGATTTCCCTCAGAAACACAAGGGGGTCGCAATCAACATCGGAATTGCAGAGACAGGTCGGTGGACTCCAGTAATTAAATGCAGCTAAACTAAATGGGATGAACATAGGCTAAGCAAGCTTACATAAGACTTAAATAGTAATTGTATATTCTGTTTTCAGGCAAATTTATAATGTCTGCCTCTGTTGACACCACCATTGTGATCTGGGATTTGAAGGGAGAGGTTTTAGCTACTATCAACACGAATCAGATGACCAACTCGCATGCTGCTGTGTCACCGTGTGGAAGGTTTTTTTTTTTTTTTAAACCTCTAGTCTTTAAAGGGCTCATATCATATATTTTTTTATTTCCTACTGATATATACACTTATAATGTTAGTGAAATGTTTTTGCAGCAAAAACAGTCTGAATTGACATTTTTAATGTGGTTAAACGTGTTATATGTTAAAGGGTTAGTTCACCCAAAAATGAAAATTAGCTTGTGTTTTACTTTCCCTCGAAGCATCCTAGGTGTATATGACTTTCTTCTTTCAGACGAATCCAGTCGGAGTTATATTAAAAATCG